AACCCAAAATTGCCCGACTGTTAATCGAATATTGCCCGACTGCCCAAAAAACTGGGGGGGCGGCCGCCCCCCCCCCCGCCCGGTACGCCTATGTGTAAACATAAATATCGATTGAAATAACAAAAATTAACTTACCGTTTGCTGTGAAAAATTCGTTCGAGTATTTCTACCAGCGTTGCCAACTGTAATTTTGCTGAGTGAGGCATCTTCCAGTATTAAAGTCGTTTAATAGTTGTAAGATACCTTTTCTGTGACAACTGGCTTTTTAATATCATTGCCTCATGCCATCAACGACAATTTCCGAAGGCAGTCGACAAGTTCCGTCACAACTCTTACAGTTTTAGCGTTACATTGTGGCTAGCCCGCGAACGGGCTAGCCACAAAAACTATTAAAGGTATCCTGATCAAATTTTCAGAGTTGCTAGTACATATCATGCTTCAGGGAATGAACTAGGATAATTGAGTTCTGCTGCATTTTCAAGGAGTTATCACTGTTTCAGTGATGCACGTTTCCGCATTTTTTGTGTTTGGTAGGATAAATTCTGATAATAGTTGTTCTATATGCAGTAAGGCAATGATTTTAGTTCATTCCCTGGACACTATTGTAACTATCAAAATAAAAATTATTTTAGACTTCTATCATTAATTCCAACTTAGTTATCATGTTTGAAAATTGACCCATTTTTTCCCTTTGGGCGTGGCATATATTGGTTACTATGGAAACAGTTAACTAAAGAAGTATATTTTCATGGTTGGGTGACCACCTTCAACAACACTGTGTAGTTAGATTTTTGTTTTGGACCATTTTTAGGAAAATATAAATTTTTTTGTATAAGCTAGACCACCTTAAGATATGTTTATGTCCTTATGTCAAGAAAAAATGTCTTGCAAATCAAGTACTTCTCATTTTGAAAATCCGTTTTCTAATTACGAAAATTAGTTTCTCATTTCAACAAATCTTTTCTTGAAGTAAGAATTGTTTTCTCAATAAGAATTTTTTTTGCTGTGTAGTTGCAGATACTGTTTAACTATATTGACAGACAATTGGCATATCTACATATATGTATCTGCAATTTTTATGCAGATATTTTGCAGATATTTTGACAGACAATTGACATATCTGCAAATATCTGCAACTTTTATGCAGATATTTTGCACATATGTTAACAGATAATCAACATATCTGCAAAATATCTGCAACTTTTATGCAGATATTGTAGCTAGACCTTGTTGCAGTTATACTGCAGTACTGCAACAGATACATGTATGTGACAGATACTTGCAGACATTTTACATATATGTCAGTTTGGTAAGGGAATGTCTGTTTGATCTTATTTTTAATATTTCATAGGTACGTTATTAACAGTACATCATTCATCAATCAGATCCTACACCACCTTTCAAATTCCACCGCTAATGATACATTTGTTTAATTTATTTTTTATTTTTTCTGCACGTATATATACAGTAAAATTGTCTGCAACTAATTGAAATTATAACTGTCTAAATTTATATTTCATGCCCGCCTCTGATTAGCTATTGCTATTTGCGGGTCATGTTATTTCTATCTTATGTATTTTATTTTATTGAATAAAATTGTATTGTATAAAAATTGTATTGTATTGGTAGATACTAAATATGTATTTAAGTGAAATCTCTCAAATGCTTTTTATATTTTTCGATTTTCCCCCCAGTAAATTAACAGACATTGCATTAAATTAACACTGTGACGTCCAAGTTAAAACTTCTCGCTTATTACTGTAAGAACATCGATCAACAAATTAGTGAAGCCCTGAATGTCACAGTTTAGCTATTTATGGCAGCACTATTTCCTATTGAAGAATTACAATAGTTATCTGTCTATAAGATTATAACGTCCAAATATTTGATATATCTCGGGACCCACGACTTTTTATTCGGGACCCACAACTTTTTACCCATGACCCACAACTTTTTAACCACGACCCACAACTTTTTACCCACGATCCACAACTTTTTAACCACGACATTTTACCCATGACTTTTTACCCACGACCCATAATTGTTAGCTAGTCCCTTCTAAGATATATCTCTTCTCCGAAGTAGGGGACATGAATACTACAGCGTGACATCATACTGAATTGTGTTAGAAAATGGTTTTACTAGCTAGAACTTCATTCTTGATCATTCTGATTTCTGAGAATATCCAAATAGTACACATAATCGTGATATTTTAGTTTCGTTTACCGTTGTTGTGATTCGGTTATTATTTGCCATTGGTAATTATAGTGGAAATATTTGTATCTGTTATATTTTTGCGAGTACACATGTGTCACTTGTTTACACCCACCAAATGTCGGGGCTTAACTCGAATTATGATTAAATCGTTAATGGATCATTTGCATTATAGACTAAATTTTGATATAGACAAAACTTTTAATACGCAAGAAATTATTTATAAAAGCAACAAAATTCATAAACATTAAACATTCAAAGCAAACTTGCACTATATTTCACGATTCCCATAGTAAATCAATTCTTCTCATTTCTTCAAACAAAAATTGCTTCAAAGCTCATTGTGTGAAACGTGATTTTCCAAAGAATTATATGCCTTTGAGAATTGAAATCTTGTTTACCCCACTCGATGAACTTTAGATTTCACTAGACTAAGTGCGTTCCTTTCCCCGGGTGTAAATAGCCGGACGGAATTAGTATCCTCGCCCCGGCCTTACGCCCGGAACGGCACTCCGCGCCGTTGGCTCAGGAAATATATATTTTTAATCATATATGGTTGAATCATATTCACCAGGGTAAAATATCATGAGCTACATTAAACAGATTGTCCTAATATCTAACTTTACCTGCAACACGCATCTGTTTCATTCCTGGGGGAGGGGCCTCAAAAAAGTTTCTACTTTTATGAGGGGGG